TTGAAAATGATAAATCTATATTACGTAGAGAGCGTTTTGATGTGTGGGAAGTTGATGGTATATACTTAAGACTATTTTCATCAATCCATTCCTTCACGATCGCACCTCTTTTATCTGTAAATGGACTATTCCATTCCTTCACTGTAGCGTTAAAATCACCAGTCAGTATCGTGCCATCAACTATGTAAGGGAGAATATCATCAAGCTCGCGTTGTTGACTACTAGGCCAATAAATACCAATAATACGTAATGGCTCTGATAGGCCTGTTATATCTATAATAACTGTATTTGGTGTTTTGACATTAATACACGTTGCTTTCAAATGCTTTCCTACTGCTATACACACTCCTCCGTTTTTATTTGTGCCTTCTTGATAAAACGTGTTAAAATTTGGCACTTGACATGTGCTCCATGTCTCTCCTACTTCTGTAAAAATACAAATAGAAGCTTGTACTTTGTGTGCTATATCAATTGCCTCTAAAGCTCGTGTGCCCCAGACATGAACATTATAAGACAGAATCTTCAAATTCTCACTTTGATCGTTGAAATTGACAGAACCGATTTTCTCCCACTGATGTAAAACCGAATTCAAGGTCTTATTTGTATACCACTCGTCTAGGAGAGAGGATACTAAATTATAATCCTTTACTGAAAAATTCCATATTCTTAATTGGTGTAACGCTTGTACTTTCGGATTTAAGGTTTGTGATATCGAGGTGGAGGGAAAAAACTCTTTTGCATGAACATTCAAGCTAGACATACTATTTAGCAAGTTAAAGGTTCTCTGTTGTTGGCATTATAGCAGTTGGTTGAATAATGTTGTTGCTTAATATTTGTGATGGTGCATGCGAAACTTTACGATTAAGTTGAAAACCATCATTTAAACTCATAGCTGCATAGCAAAAACGATTGTAGAATTGCTGTACGACTGGTATTAACGATGCTCTATCATTCTTGTTATACGTGAGTGATGACGGTATAAATTTTTGAGTGAAGTCTTTCATGGTTTCGATAACATCGAGTAATACCGCTTGGTGTAATTGAGTATCAAGAGTAACTACTTTTAAATCTATTTTGAATCGATCAACTTTTTCTTCTATTCGTTTATTGCTATCTAAGAGTTTCAGCAAATTATCATTGATACTTCCTACTGACATTTCTGATTCTGGTGCTGTTGTTGTATTAGGTATACGTGACATAAGACCTTGTACTATGTTCCATTTCGGAGGTTGACTCACAGTATTTGTTGCCAATGCTGGAAAATCTTGTTCTCGGAGTTCGAATGTTGGTGCTTTTTCTTTTGGTAGAATACGATGTAATTTGCCACTATTTATAGCTTCTTCAACGTCTACTTTTAATTGTAGCTTATAGTCACGAATTACCTGACATTGATTATCCAGAGAGTAGTGTTTTCCATTACATTGTGCACAATTAGGTTCCTTTTTACAAATGT